CCAGAGTACTACTTGGAGGCCAGGATGGCCAAACTTGGTCTCTCATTCTTCGGACATATTGTCAGGAGGGACCAGTCACTGAAAAGGATACCATATTTGGTAAGGTGGAGGGTCAGTGAAAAAGAGGAAGATCCCGCCCCCCAGCAAGATGGATTGGCAGAGTGGCAGCATCAGTGTGCTCAAGCATGGCTACAGTAGTGTGGTTTGCCCAGTATCAGGCGGTGTTTCGTTCTGCTGTGTATAACGCCGCTATGAGTCAGTACCGACTTGATGGAACCTAACAACTATAACAGATGTTTTAGTCACCACTTTATGTCATTGAAAAAGGTATTTGCAATGCATAAATTATTGTTATTGCACACTTCTGTCATGCAGACCCCATCAGTTTCTATAACCAAGACCTTATTTTATAACTACTGTTTCATTTCTTTGTTTCTAATTTTCATATTCCAATAACTAGTAATTACCAATACAGCTTGAGTGCATGTTTGTCAGTTTCAGACTGAAAAAGTTGGTAAAATACTTCAGTTTCATCACCATTGACTTTAGTGGTTGGTGCCTAAATTTGAATAATAGAAGAAGAAGAATATTTAACTGGTCTTCCTTGTGGTATGTGGGTATTATCCTATCATAGACAGCATTATACTTGGAGATAGATCTTGAGATGTTGTTTTTGAGTATGAGTGAGATAGTGTTTCTCTTCAGTGTGTCATTCTCAGCCATTCCCAATTTGTCTTAGTGAACCACATGGTTATGTGATTCAAAATGACCAATACCAGTCCATTTCAGTTCAAAAACTGCCTAGAGGATATTGATCTTTATGCATTCAGTTTCATTTTTGACAACTTACAGTTTTCCTAGATTCATACTGCGTACATGCCATGTTCCCATTATTAATGAATATTTGCAGCTGTGTCTTGTCATTTTAAATTGTTTCCCAACAGCAAATGAAAAACATGAAAGCTTTGCTCCATCTGCATCATTATGGTCAACTCTACTTTGAGGAGGTACCTCTTCCCCTAGAGTATTTGGAGTGCCTTCCAGCCTGAGAGGCTCATCTTCTGGCACTGTATCCATCTGATAATGTTCCTCTACTATTCATAAAGTGTTCAGAGGCTACCCACTCAGTTGTCATCCATGCCTCTTTCTTTGTAGTCTGGAAGCTCTGCTGACACCTATCCAACATGTGTGCCTCGAATGGTGTTTAAATACCTGGGCATAACATTCAGCAGCACAGCCACACAAGTCACTGCAGTACAACTTATTGACAGACAAGTGGTGGTTGTACCTTACAGTATTTATAAAAGGAGAGATCAAGTTTGCCAGGCAGTTGGTGGCAGTAAAGGCACCATCTAGTTCTTCTGGTCTCAGACTAGTGGGGACTATGGTTCATGTGGTCCATAATCTTTTAGACTAATTGTTTCTTAGTGGTTTTGATTTTCTTCACCTGCTTTGCTTTGCACAGAAAGTAGTGAGTCTTAGATGGTTGCTTAGTGTGTTAAGACCCCAGTCGCTACTCAGCAAAGTAGAATGTAGACCATTACCTTTATGGGCTATGTTATGCTAACTGTGACCTAGAAGTTCCCCAAGACCGTGGCCCCTGTCCTTCAGGCTTGAGAGTTACTATTTTTTTTTTATAATTTAGAGTCTCACATTCTCTTATAAGAAAATAAATTTCATTTTCATACAGTTTCTAAGGTAGTTCAAGCTTTCCATTTTCTGAATGATTGGATGAATCCTGTTAATCCATTCCTTTGTGTAACTCGGGAATCTATATTTTATAAATTCAAAGCTTTTGCTTTTTCTTTTAAAATGAATCTGTCTTAGGAAACTGATATCCAGAGTGATTTTGTTGAAATAAGCTTATTTTTTTAAATCTGTCAATGAAATAGGGTGCCAGTTAATGCTAATTATTGTTGGAATAAAAGTGGAGAGTTACAGCCTCATACTAGACCTGTTGTTGTTTGTATCGCTTAGCCCTGTCCACACATGGGGTATTTTACTCTTAGTTATGATAGAATGCTGACGAACTTAAAAATAAAAACAAACAAAAAAGACTTGTTTGGAAACATTGGTTGGTTGGTTATGTGTCGTGGAGTTGGTTCCGACTCATAGCAACCCTGTACAGGGTTTCTGAGGCTGTGAATCTTTACGAAAGCAGAAAGCCTCATCTTTCTCCCACGGAACAGCTGGTAGTTTCGAACTGCTGACCCTGAGGTTAGCAGCCTGATTAATAACCACTACGCTACCAGAGCTTTTGGAAACATAGGAAGGCGTTTTAAAACAAAACACTTCCCCCTGGACTCCTTGTCTTTTGTGTTCATTGATGCCCTTCTGTTGTCTCTCTGTGCCTTCTCTGAGGCCACCTCTGACTCTGAATGTCCCCACAGCACATACCGTTCTTCCTCTGACCCTAGCCACTGACCTTAGATCCACACTCACAAGGTAAAGAGTACAGCCCTCCAGACTGACAACGTTTGCCCAAGTCTTCAGATGCTAGCCATAAGCACTTTGCACTTATGACCTGTTGGCTACAAATGTGAAGTTTCTCGTTAACTGTTTGGGTTCAGGAATTCTCTAGAATGATTCACAGAACTCGGAACAACACTATCCTTACAATTAAAGTTCAATGACGGCTAAAAGGATGCAAATGAAGAGATGTATAGAGCGAAGTCTGGGAGGGTTCCTAGTAGAAAGCTTCCATGTCCCACAGAGGGACATGCCACTCTATAAAGCACTGATGTAGCTCAGCAGCCAGGAAGCTCAGACTTTCAGTGTTCTGAGTTCTTATTGGGGTCTTGTTACATCAGCATGATTGACGGATTGAACTCAGCCTCCTGTTCCTCTCCCTCCCTGGGGTTGGATTGATATTGTAAACTGAGTCTCTCTGGCCTGGCCAGCCTCCACCCAAGAGTCACATCATTAGCATAACCTGAACCGGAACCCTGGTGGTGCTGTAGAATAAGCACTGGACTGCTAACCACAAGGTTGGCATTGCAAACCCACTAGCTACTCATCAGGAAAACGATGAGGCTTTCAGCTCCCTTAAAGATCTACAGACTTAGAAACCCTTCACAGGGTTGCCATGAGTTGAAATGATGAGTTGGTTTGGGGTTTGGGTCCAGAGAACAAAGACAGTCTCATCTTTCAGGAAATTCCAACCAAGTGTCTTCAAGTTCTCTCTCAGGAACAAGAAGAAAAACCAAATTCATTGATAAAGTGTGGCATTATGGGATCAGTGAGCCACAAGATGAGTAGTTCAAACCTACAGGCAGCTCCTCAGAAATGGTGTACAAGGTTGCTATGAGTTAAAACTGACTCGATGGCACTTAACAACAACTTAACAACAAAGTATAAAAGTATTACAGTAAAATCATAGAAACCTTTATTAAACAAAAATATCAACATGTGACTATTATTTCCCCACACCTCCTCCATCGAGCCCTATACACTTGTGAAAGCGCTGTTTCCATCTCGCTAACCCTTCCCCGAAGAATTCTGTGCTCTCTGATTTACATCACATCAAAATGGCAGGTTTTTAATCCTCCGGGAACTTAACTTGTGTTCCTTTTAAATGTTCTTTGTGTTTGAGGAATAGAAAGAAGTCTGAAGGGGGCAAATATCAGAGCTTTAGGGTGGATGGTAAGGTTTCCCAACGAAATTCTTGCAGGACAGACCTTTGCTACCCAGGAAGAATGAGCAGGCACATTGTCGTGAAATCTGCTGAAAAAATTCCTTGACTCAACTTCTGTGGCCATTTCTCAACAGTGCTGTTTTCAGTGGTCTACAGCTTCTTCCTAATAAGGCCCTATGGTTATCCTGTGTTGTTTGAGAAAACCTATTAAAACAATCCCTGTGAAGCCCCCCAAACCAGCCACTGTAACTTCTGAGCTCTCCAGCAGATTACATTGAAGGCCAGTGTTAGTTTTGCATAGTTTTTGAAAACTACCCTAAGGAGACTCAGACAAGTGTATTACTGAGAGTACTAGTCTGCAGAGACATGTTTAAGCATGTTTTGTTTGGAATAAGGCTGTGCATGCATGAACTGTCACCCTAGTAGCAAGGCATTTTAATTTACCGTCATCTGAGTATATCCCGCATCCCTTAATACGAACTCCTGCAAAGCATTTTCCCTTCGCTTTTAGGGCTACCTTGTACATACATAGATTGCATCCTTTTTAAAAACTCTCCTGCCCACCTTCTTACTTAAAGGGCCAGAACGAAAATCGTGTACTCAATGTATAGTCGAAAAGCAGCCGAAGAGGTGAAGCAACAATTGATCAAACTACAAGTCAATTATTACATTCTAGAAGAGTCCTGGTGTGTAAGAAGATCCAAGTGAGTATTCATTCAACACAATATATTTTATAAAAGCTGAAAAGGCTTGAGTTTCATGACAGGTAGCCTTCTTGGTGGCATATGTGAAATGTATGTATGATCTCCCAAATTATTCATACTTGACCTTAACATTTTTTAAAAACTGTAACCTAAAGGCAGATCTATTTTCTTTCAAAAGGTTTCCAGAGTCTCAAACAAGATAATGTCAGTATCTCATTGTAAGGCAGTAAGCCAGCCGCTGAAGACTCAGGCTTCCGCTATCCATGCTGAACTCTGTCCACACCACATCCTGTGGGTAGATGTGACCCCTCTCAGCTCAACTTGAAATAAAGTTTTCCTTTCTAGCTGTTTCACATCTTATTTGAATTGGAAAATAATTAACTTGGTATGACTCATATTCCGTTGGTTGGCATTTTAAAGTATATTTCTACAGAGAGGATGATTAAGCAGGGTATAGCTAGCTGTAATGTCAGTAGGATCTCGGGACCAAACATGAATTCTGTTGTTGACTGTTTGGAAATGACGTTCATGGGTGGCTGGACCTCAGTGACGGTCATCTGCCTTGACATTCATTCAGTAGCCTTCAGGTGGAGAACAGTGCCATCAGAAATGACAACTATCTTATGGAATGCTGTTATTTTGTAAATTCTCATTATTCTGTAACAAAACATATGCTTGAAAGCAACAATCAGGAAATCGAACAACGTTTTACTTTGGGCCAATCTGCTGCAAAAGACCTCTTTAATAAGTGTTGAAAAGCAAACCTGTCACTTTAAAGGCTAAGCCATCAGAGGAAAGGCTATCCTGAGCGGAACAGCGGGGTCCTGAACATTGTTTCTCAGCCTGAATTGTTCCTGTTCAGTTTCTGAGTTCTGGGTGGCCATGACAATTGACTTGTCAGCCCCAGCTGAGTAGAGAGGTGAGGTTGATGTCATTTTTTGCATGTATTCATTCACTATGTATTTTAATGCTATACCAATTTATTATGACAAAAGTATTCAATATTAACTCATGAGTGAAAATAATTTTGTGCCATAGCATCTTTTTCCACAAGGAAAATTAAGTAATTGCTGACTGTTGTGAATGATTGTGCTGTGAATATATGCCAAGTGAACTAAATTTCATTGTGATTTGTAGGAAAGGTTATTATTCTTATAGTTGTAATTTAGAAAATTGCATTGCTGTGAGTCAGAAGCTAACAATATATTCAAGAGTCTTCATTGTTTCCTAGATCTCGCATGTTATTGTTTTTGTGTGCCATCAAGTCAGTTCTGACTCACATCTACCCTGTATAGGGTTTCCAAGACTGACTGGAAGTGTGAACTGCAGACCTTGCAGATGGCGGTCCAGTGCTTATCTTACAGTGCAAAGTATTTGAATATTTAAACATTGCAGTGACAGGATTGCTTTGTGTTCCCTGATGTCTATGGACCTCCTTGGGTTTGACAACTGGAGTCATCTTTGGTTTCCATAGGAAGACCATTGCTTTATGGACAAAAAGAGATGTAAAGACAGATTTAGGAAATATGCAATGAAATCGTGCATTCTGTCATGCCAGTTAACCAGCTTCAGATTGTCTGCATGTGGACTGCTGACGTGGGCACTCAGGGAGAAAGCCTAGGGTGGGATGGGTGTTGGCCCAGTTCTCCCACCTGACCTTGACTTACCATTGTTGTGTCTGTCCCAGCAGGAAGGAACCGAAGGAACATTAGGAAAGTAACATTCTCCCATATACTTTCCCCGATCAGTAACTGAAACAACACTCTCCATCTACTGCTACAAGAGTGATGCTAAGCCTCAAGAAATGTTAGACATGTGCCCCTCTGCTTAAACCTGCAAACAAAACATAAAAGTTGTGCCTTCTTTTTCAGCAGGGAAGCAAATGGAGAAATCAGACAGGGGACCGAAAGGGAGCTCCTATTTATCTAGCGTTTAATCTGTGCCCAGCACTGTAGTGAGCACTGTATTGTGTGATCTCATTGACATATCCCCTCCTTAATTGTGTCATTTGATTGTTGTTGTGTGCTGCCAAGTCAGTTGTAACTTACAGCGACCCTATATAGGGTTTCTGAGGAGCAGCTGGTGGATTTAAACCACAACCTTGTGGTTAGCAGTCCAGTACTGATCCTACAGCACCGGGTTGTCATAAAGTGCCATGAAGTCGGATCCGACTCATAGCGACTCTCTGTAGGGTTTCCAAGGCTGTAAATCTTCACGAGAGCAGAAAGTCTCATCTTTCTTCCGCAGAGCAGGTAGTGGGTTTGAACAGCAGAGCTATGGTTAGCAGCCCAATTCATAGGCCACTATGCTATCAGAACTCTTTCTCATGTTGGTAAACGTATGTTAAAAACTACACTCTAAACAGTCTTTGTAGGAACACACATGGAAAATAAAATCTTCTGGATAGAAAATTTGATGGGGCCAAAGTGAACTATTATGTCAGCGCTTTGACAGAGCAGTACCACTGCTTCTAGAAATTTAGCTTGCAGAAACGATACAGGCCCAAGAATGTTTTCAGCAGCATTGTTTTGAAATGACAAAATGTGAAACAAAAATATCCATCTATAAAGCAATAGTGGTCCCTGGGTGGCACAGATGGTTGTCTTCTTGACTACTGATGGTTGGCAGTTTTGAATTCACCCAGTGGTGCCAAAGCAAAAAATGCCTGGTGATCTGCTTCCATAAAGATTGCAGCCAAGAAAAGCCCTTGGCTCACAACTCTGCTCTGTAACATATGAGGGCACCGTGAGTCAGGCTCGGCTGAACTGCAGTGGGTTTGCTGTTGTTGTTAGGAGTACGGAGACTGTCATGAATGATTCCAACTCCCAGCAGCCCCATGTGACACAGTTGAACTGCTCAGCAGCACAGCGGGTTCCCGAAGCTGCCAAGCTTTAGGAAAACAGACGCCTATGGCGCTCTCCCTCAGGGCTTGGATGGGTTTGAACCGCACACTTTGGGTTTAGCAGCCCAACACATAATCCACTGCACCACCAGAGTTCCTTTTAGGAGTAATAGCAATGGTAGGATTAAGCACTGCACTGCTAACCACAGGTTAATGGTTCAAACCCACCAGCAACTCCTCAGAAACCCTATACAGGGTTGCTATAAATCGGAACTGAGTGGATGGCATTTAACAGCAGCCACCTATTAAAAGGAGCCTGCTAACCACAAGGTAAGCATTTGAATCCACTAGCCAGTACCGGGGAGAAAGATGAGGCTTTCTGCTTCCATAAAGATGTAGTCACCGAGACTCTAACAGGGTCTCTCTGAGTCTAAACTGACTCGATGGCATACAACCACCACCACCACCTGTTAAAAAAAAATAAAGTATGTCTTTATGTACCGAGGTGGCAAAATGGGCACATTTTATTAAGTATAGTTTCAGAATAATCCAATTGTAAAAAATTGGAATGTTTGATATACCGGTCTGCCTGTATTAGTAAGCATGTGGGTCTGAAGTCGGATAGCAGATGTAACAGAATATACACTGACTTGTTTCCAGATCCCACCTCTGAGAAGTGATATTCTATGTGAGGGTGACTTTCTTTGGTTTTGCTGGTGAGGCACTAGACTGCAAGGTCGGTTTCAACAGCAAGGTCAGCGGTGGTTCAGACCCACCAGCCACTCCTTGGGAAGTCTACACAGGGTCACTGTGAGTTGGAACCGATTCTACAGCACTTAACAACAACAGCTCTGTATAGGTCTCAATTTTGATTTTTTGCAATGATTGATTTGATTATTTTTGAACTTTTTTTTGACAGATTACATATGTCATTTATAAAAAAGCATGTGCGTTTCTGCTCGCGTGCCTGCCTTCTGGTGAGAGGAGAGGGACCGTACTGGGGATAAAAGACACTTGTTGGGAAAGTGTTTATGATTACTACTTTGTCTTTTTAAGAAAGCAAAACAACTATGACAAATCATAAGCACTTTTTGATTATTTTTATGTGTTTTAAATATCTCAGAAAATATGAAAGCGCAACTAGCAAAATAAAAGTTCCTTTTTTAAAAACAGCTTGACTTTAATTTTGCAGTTATCTTGAAGGACTTTTTAAGGCAAAATAGACATCAATTCCATTTTCTTTATAAAGACATTGCTTTTAAGATTTATGCATTTAGCCATGAGGAGAATTTAAGATCTTTAAATGAACTCATTCTACAATGTAATTAATGTAACTTCCCTGTGAACTAGGCACACTTCCCAATTAAAAGTTTAGAAATCAATGTATTATAATTTCTTACTATGTGTTGGTGCAAAAATGGCACCAACATTTCTTCCGCAGCCTTCTACTCAGCTGAGTTCAATAATTTATTGCCGTGGCCATACAGAACCCAGACACCTTATTTAGAGTTACGGGGTTTATTAGGAACGGTAACAGGTTACAATTCAGCATCAGACATGTTCATACACAGACCTTCAAGTTAGGACAGTCTCTCAGCTGTGCTCACAGGCAGGTCTTTCTCTGCCCAGGCTAGACGTTCCCCATCCTTGCTCTATAGGAGTCTTGGTATGGCTCTGTGGGTTGATGTGCTAGACCACAAGATCGGCACTTCAGGCTCACCAACTGCTCCCCAGAAACCCTATATAGGGTCACTGTGGGTTGGGACCCACTCAACAGCACTTAACAACATGAGTCAGAACAAACTCATAGCACCACTTAACAACAACAAAGAGGATCTATGGCATCTTACAAAATATAAATAATTATCGTAGAACTCTTTAAAAGCTATGCTTATCTAAGTAGGACAAGTGAAATAAGGCTCAATTTTCATGTCTCTTGGTTTTTCTAGGCCTGGTTGCAGTATGCCTGAAATTTGGGATGTGGAAGACCCTGCTAACGCTGGGAAAACCCCCTTATGTAACCTCTTGGTGAAGGAGTCGAAGCCTCACTTCACCACTGTGTTTCGGAACAGTGTTTACAAAGTCTTAGAAGTCATCAAAGAATGACTGCTACCTGAACTGCTGCCGACACAGAACTCCATCAGTACTGGTTTTAACATTTTGCTAATATGTCATACATTGTTTTTAATTCAAGTCTCAAAAAAACTTTTATAGGTAACTGTTTTCAAATAGAAAACGTTTTATTTGGTGAACTGGAATACCATTCGGACTGTAAAAAAATACTTAACACCTTGATTAATTGGTTATTATTTCAACGCATTCCTTAAAATTTGCTATGCAAATGAGTATGTGCTTGTATGACTTAAATATCTGTGCTTAAGTGAGCAAAGCTACCTACAGAAAAGGAATGTGGCCAGGGTCAAACGAGACTACAGTCCATTCTGAACTCTGTAGGAGTTGTCTGACAGTTTCCAGACTATTGACACCTCTCGCTGCTGCTCCTGCCTCTTGCTGTTGTCTTTTAGTGTCTTGGAATGCTAGCCCAGTGATGCTAGCCCATCATCACCGTGAAGACCAGTGATGGGGCACAGATGTAGGTTATGTGCTAGTTGGAATCATCTCTTTATTTCACGTCTGTGTTTTCTTTTTGTTTTCTCTCACTCTTGTTAATGAGGCGTTTCCTATCCATTATTAATCCAAACTTTTGTTTTAGTGATGTGGACCACATTCTGTTATTAACTGTGCATCATTTAATAACAGCATTCTTTGTCAGATCAGTGTTATTTACTCATTTAGTTATTCACCAAGTACTTATTTTTGTTTAAAAATATATATACATTAATGGAAACTGCATTTTTCTCATTTTTAGTATTATTTGAATTTTTATATTTTAACACATTGAAATCACTTTTTAAACTTTTCATGTTTAGTTATTAATGTTCAGAAAATCAATTTTTAGCACCTGCAAACATAATAATGCATTTAGAAACTAATGTATATTTGCATAGACATAATTTTCACTGGCTATAGTAAGTGGCACTTTTTCTTTTACTGTTATGATACAATAAAACATTATTATTAATGTTACTGTCAAAAAAGCAAATGAAGAATGATAAGTGAAGTTTTTATATTTTACTTTTAAATAAAGTTCCCATCTTTAATGAGACAAAAACCTAATGTTATACATTTGATTCTAAAAACCATCATATCTGTTTGAGGAATGAGTAAATCCAGTCTTCCTCTTTATTTTGAAATTTTTCAAAACCTGTTTTTAATTCTTTGCATGAGATTTTGTTTCTTAGAAGTTTATTTGTGTGAAATGAGATTCTTCAAATTGGTACATCCTTATAGCTCTGAGAAGTGGCTTTAAGATTTTTAATTCTAACCAAACCCTGGCTATGTCTGGCTACATCTTTAATTACACAGTGTTCTCTTCGTTAACCACGGGCAGATTAACCTCATTGTGGATTGTCCTTGAGCCCTGAGTCCTCAGGACTGATTTCCAGTTACCACACCTGGGAGCCACTGAAGATTTGTTCTCTTTCTACCTTCTTACCAGAGTCAGGATGATCCTGGTCAGGGGGATGCACTAGCGTGCTTACATTGTTGTTGTTAGGTGCCATTGAGTCCATACCGACTCATAGCGACCTTATGCACAGTAGAACGAAACACTGCCCAATCCTGGGTCAACCTCACTACTGTTGCCACGCTTGAGTCCTTCGATGTTGCCACTTGGCCAGTCCATCTCGTGGGGGTCTCTTTTTCTCTGACCCTCCACCTTACCAAACATGATAACCTTCTCCAGCGACTGGTCCCTCCTGACAATATGTCTGAAGTATGAGAGACAAAGTTTGGCCATCTTGGCCTCCAAGGAGCATTAGGAAGCTGAGAAGACAGCATGTCCGGCTGAGGGCTGTGTCACCAGAGTCAGGCCTCCTTCCCAGACCTCAGCCTTAGAGCTGCTACCTTGATTCTTGCGATTCTAGCACTCTTTCTCATTTGCCAGTCCACTGTTTGATTTCTCAGACTTTCCCAGCTTCAGAAAATAAGCAGCAGCTGGGGTGTTGTGGAGGAGGAGACAAATTTTGAGTGGTAGTGTAGCAACCCATCAAAATGGCAAGAGGGCAGTGAGACTGAGGGGCTGCCCGGTGCTCTGTGGTCATCCACAGCTGTGGTGGGACAATCAGACTGTGCTCACCTTTATCATCACCTGTCTCTCATCCAGTTGTGGCTGACGGAGTCCACCCAGCACTTAGAACTTATTCTTAAATTCATACTCATTAGTTCCCAACCCCCAATAACCTCCTTCCTAATGAGTTCTGGTCTAATGGGTGGAAATTCTATACAGGACAGAACAGTAAGGTACTATTCTGTTTCATATGCTGGGAAGTTAGAAGTCGGAGGGGTTTTGTTTTGATTTTTGAGACTACTTTTGCAGCAGTATTTACTAATATAACCCCACCACCAAGCTCGGATGATCTCTGTTGCGAACTGAGGCCTCAGTGGGTGAACTGCACACACAGGGTAGCTTCTATCTGGTAGCAGTTGGTGCTATTGACTGGAAGTATCTTTTATAGCAACATGGGCTAATCAGTGGGCTCAATGTGCCTGATAAAACAGTATTATGCCTCCGTATTTGATGTATTTTAGCATTTACAAATATTTTTGCTTTAGTGTGAGGACAGTTAGGATGGGCAAGGAGGCCATAGATAGAGCTTATTGCTGTGACATTGGAAAACTAAACCTGGGGCAGCATTTGTATGAAAAGGGCCCCGGGCACCAGCTTGGCAGAAGAGTAGGCCGGTGGCATACATTAAAGGAGAGTGAAAAGCTGTTAGGAAGAGGCGATGCTGCCTTGGAGGATTGTATTTTTATGGATTTTATGCCAGTTGTTTACATGTACTATATATATGTTAAATAAAAAGATCATGAAAAATGTGGGAAATGTTTGTCCTTGATTGTTTCCATCCGCATCCTGACTAGGTGTGCACATATTCGATCTCATTCTATAGTCAGACACATGAACTGGTTGTGTTGATTGCAATCCTGAAAAAGGGAGGGGGTGCTGCTGCTTTGGTGGGCCTGTAGCTTGGGGATTGCCCCCTACTTCTTCTGTATTTACAGCAGCACACATTACATGCTTTTCTCGATCATTTCCTTCAAACCGAAGCTCAGACCCTCTACCTTTGAGTGGATTCTGCTCCCAGAACACTGCGAGCACTGGGGAGATCTGCCCCAAGGGTTTCCAAGGCTGTATATCTTGACGGAAGGAGGCTGTCACTCCTTTCTTTCTTGGAGTGACTGGTGGGTTCAAACCACTGACCTTTTGGTTGGCAGCCAAGCATTTTAACCATTGTGCTACCAGGGCCCCTGTATTTCCCTCAAAGGACACAATAATTCATTTAAATGATATTTTGAGGGGTAATTACAGGGTTGCTGAAAGGTTTTTCTCAGGCATTAAGCTGCAGACCAGTTTGGTGTCATAACATTTCCTAAATTATATAGCTCCATGATTTTGCTTAATACAAACATCAACTTATTGTTTTGCTTACTTGGGAAAAGACAGCTTGGTTCATTTCTGTGCAATTAATTTCTTAGCACACTGACACCTTGATTCTCTGGTATCACGTGTTCTATACAGTGGTTCTCATCCTGCATCAGAATCACTGGGATTATTAAAATGCACTTATTAAAATGCAGGTTGCTGGAGCCTCCACACATTGTTTCGGATTCAGTGGGCCTAAAGTAGGAGCTCTGGTAGCGTAGTGGTTACAAATCGGGCTGCTAACTCAAGGTCAGCAGTTCGAAACTACCAGCCGTTCCACAGGAGAAAGATGAGGCATTCTGCTCCCATAAAGATTTACAGCCTTGGAAACCCTGTACAGGGTTAATATGAGTTGGAACCGACTCCAAGGCACACCACCACCACCACCAAAGTAGGACCTGAGAATGTGTATTTCTAGCTAGTCTTAGATGATGTTGATGTTCGTCTGGACCATACTTTGGGAACTGCTTCTGTAGTTGCTGGGAAAAGACAAGGCCCCACTTCTGCTGTCACTTACCCACCAAGAACACTGGTTAGACCTTCTACTGGAAACTGATTGGACCCTGTTGCTGCTGTATCACTTGGGAGGCATTACTTCAACTGAATTTGCATGGATGGAACAAAGAACAAGGCAGTTTTCCACCAGAACATTGATATGGCTTGTTCACATGGTGTTTGGATCATTTGAATATTCTGATGCTGTAAGTTAGATTTGGATTTGACCTGTTTCTTTTCTGCTCAGAACTGGAAAAGAAATAAAAATGCTTTGAAATTGTACTTCCCTCTAATAAAATGACTTGGTCTAGAAGAAAATAAAATTTAGTGATACGTGTGGGTTTTTAAAATTCATTTTCCACTTTATTACTTTTATTTTGACCCCAGAAATCCTCAGTCTTCTCTATTAGAGAGCAGTGAAGGATCAGAAATAGGTCCCTGGATTTCTGATTTCTTTTTTCTGCCTTCCCATTTTTTCCTTTCACCCAACTAGAAGCTTCTAATTTCAGTAAAATTGTTCTCAGTGCAAGAAAAGACCTACTACTTTAAACTTCATTATATTCCTGAATGGGTCTTCACTTCACAGTATGGTATCAGCACAAATACATTTTTACATTCAGAGTTGAAGAGGACATTAAAGTATAGGAAGGTGTTGGAATTTTTTTCCTTTGACATTTACTCCCATGAGAGATTTTCAGATTCTGGATGAAAGTAGTGGGAAATGTTTTCCTCTTACGATGTTGAGTCATTGCAGTGTAATTAAGAGGTAAGATTTTTCTTTCTCTTTTTGGTAAATAGAATAGGATAGTATTGATATTGGCTCTGTTTTCAAAGCAATGTTTTCTGTTCTCAATTATTTCTAAACCCAAACTCTAATTACTTTAAATAAGCATAGTGTTGTCGAAACGACTCTCACATCAAGGCTACTGCTACCCAGTATCCTGTTTTTGACTGCATGTTTATTTCAATACAGCATAATAGCTTTTCATTGATTTTTAAGTACCAAGATGTTTTCCTTTCTTTTTTTGCTGCATGCAAACATAATACCGTGAAAGACTTGAATTTAGCAAAATTAAGCTCATTGAATTGTTACACTGGTTGCTTCAAGGCTTTATCCTTCCTATTTATAAAAAGTAGAATTGTAATAAATGACCATTGCTAAATAGATTTAGCAACAGGTTAGAGAAACTGACTAGGGGGGCGGGGAGACTGCCTAAGGTCAGCTGTTCCACTGAGCTTTATTGCCCCAGCTCTCTTACCTGGTTCTTTGGTTTGATGGAGTACAAATTGAAATCTTTGAACAAACTGATGCAGCACATGAGGTACTCACTCATCTATGCCAAGAAACTTGAAGACAGTAACCTGGCCAACTGCTTGGAAGAGATGCATATTTATGTCCATTCCATAGAGTGATGACCCAACAGAATGTGGAAATCATCGAACAATATCACATGCAAGTAAAATACTGCTGAAGATCATTCAAAAAATGGCTGCAACAATACATCAACAAGGAACTGCCAGAAACTCAAGTTGGATTCAAGAAAGGAAGTGCAACTAGGGATATCATTTCTGATGCCTGATGGATCTTGAAAGCAGATAATATTAGAAGTATACATACTTGTGCTTTATTGACTATGCAAATGCTTTTGACTGTGATTCATGACAAA